TGACTTGGGATCAGGAATGTCGCCTGAAGGTGTACGATGCTTTGTGACTCCAAATCTGGGCACAGTAAATCCCCAAGTACTCCTATTTTCCTTTACCAGAAAATATTCCAAGATTTTTATATTTTTAAAAATGGATTTGTAAAGGTGTCTGAATTAAGTTCAGACAAGGAAATTAAATTAAAATAGCAGATATTTCTCACATCTTCCAAGACCATAGGATGAAAAATATCAAGGCATGAGTCTATTTTTCATTCAAGGAGAAAACAAAATCCCTTTAACATGCTTCTTGCATTTTAGACTGAATGCACTATGTGTGCAGTGTGCAATTACAGAGCTCCTGACAGTCTGTGTCTAACAGAAATGCCACGCTTACTTCCATCTTCTAACACCAACCTAGAAAGACAAATATTTGAAGGGTTAGAGAAAGGTGGCTGCAGATAGCCTTCAATGGCGAGTATGCGTGTTTGTGCCTCTGTGTGTGCACGTTTCAGTATCAGGAAGGCAAGAAAGGCTTACACATCTGTATGCAGTTATGCCAACTTTCTTCAATTTGCTTTTACCCAGTAGGAAAATACTGATGTGTCCTTGACATCTGAAGAGCCTGATTCACTAAAGATGTTTTAGGGAATGCATCCTGAGATGGGGAGAGAAAATCCTCCAGGAAAAAGAGAGAAGCAGGGCCTCTAAGGATGCTCCCAGGGAGAAATACTAGTTTGCTCTCAGATAAGTGAACATAAAAAGTTTTGGTGTTGCTGTTTTGACTTGGAATTCTGCAGAGGACCCAGCTGGGCCTGGTACTTTAACTGCTCAAGACATGACAGGTGGTGCCTGAAGGAACTCCCTTAGAGTGTGTGTCTGAGAAATCCTAAGCTCTGCCACACAGAAGTAAGCATTCAAAGAGCCAATACAGCTATCAGTTACAGTGCCAGACACAAGGAAACATCTGCAAACCAATACCAGTTGGGAATGCAGCTCACTATCACCATGCCAGCCTTATTTAATTATTTTCAGCACAAGGAGTAGTATTAAATGATGGACATCAAATTGCCAGCATTTCCAATTGTCTCTAAAAAATCTGCTTTCTAAAGATTTTTATATGCACTGGTAATATTAAATAGAATTGCTTTTCTGTCTTAGGTTTACTTACTGCGATGTCTTTGTCTTGCAAGATGTTGAAGATACCACATCCATTTCTTTTCTCTTGAAGAATTTCTTCACAGACCTTTTTCTCCCTTTTTACTTATCCTGTTCTTACAATCCTCATGTTGTATCTAGCTTTCATGTGACAGTCAGAAGGAAATTCATAATGCTACCTTCTGGAGGTCTGTCAGTCTCTCTTCTCAGTGATTCTTTCTAATTTTATTACCTATATATTAAATCAAAAAGTCCAGATCCGGTACATTATAGTTTGTCTTGATGAGGGACAGTTTCAAAGTGATGGTAATTCACTGGAAAAGAACCATAAATCCCTCAGACATTATGAAACCAGTACCACGTGCTAACAACTACAGTGTAGTTTTGAGATTTCCTGGTTTGTAAATTAGTCCCCAAACTGAAAAAAGGTAAAACAGATAATACCATATCATCTTCTTCTGAATTCAGTAGCAGATGAATTCATCAATTAACTTAACAAAATGAAACAGTTTCCATACTGCAAGAAGATAATGAAGTTACATCAAAAGTTAATTTGGCTGTGATTAATTTAGAATTGGTATATAGATAATTCAAAACTATTTCAGACTGGTAATGACAGAGGATAAAAAGTCTGTCCCTGAATGATGTCAGGTGTGAAATCAAAGAACGCAGTAATAATGTGACAAAAAAAAAAAAAATTCTCAGAAATGTGTGTTTTAAAGTGAGTTTGGCTCAATCCTACTCCAAGCAGACAAATACTTGCTTAAAAATGCTGCCTTGACATTGATCTATGTCAGATTTTGTCTTTACCATCACTTCTGCAATAATGACATTAAATGAACATGCTTTCTGCAGCTTTAATGGGCAAGGGAGATGGAGTGCACTAGTCTCAACTGTGAATTTCCAGTCCAGCTGTTGCATGGCCTTCTGTATGACTGTCTGTTTTTCAGTACTTAAAATCAAACTCTTAAGGGCTTTGCCTGGGTATTATTTACTTTAAAAATAATAAAATGAATTAAAAAATGCTTAGTGTCAAGAACACTCTTT